CACAGGTTCACATCCCCGGTGTGGACCTACACAACTCATCAAGCCATGCTGTGGCGGCAACCCACATACAAAATAGAGGAAGACTGGCAAAAGGTCAGAGCCAATCTTCCTCTCCAAAAAAATAAAAAATTGATTAGAAAAACACCTCTGGTGAGAATATTCACGAAAAAATGTAAAAATAATTATTTACCTTTAAAAGAAGCAATATCAGAAATGATAAAGAATATCACTACAGATCTTGCAGACATTAAAAAGATTAAATGGGTATATTATGAACCATTTGATGGCAATAACTCTGAATTTGAAGATAAAATGGACACATTCCTAGGAAAATATAATATCAAAATTGACATAGGAAGAAATCATTTAAATAGTCCTATAACTATTATTGAATTCATAATTGAAAACTTTTCTACAAAGAATGCCAGGCCCATATGACTTCACCAGTAAATTCTGCCAAACATTTAAAGAAGAAATAATGCCAATCTCATACAAACTCTTGTGGAAAACAGAAAAAGGGGAGCTACTTCCCAACTTGTTTTTTGAGGCTAATATTATTACTCTGATATCAAAACCTGACAAGAAAATTACAAAAAAGGGAAATTACAGGCTAATCTCATTCATAAACATGAATGCAAAAATCCCAAACAAAATGTGAATAACTCAGAGCCAAGATTTTTTGTGTGTGTGTGTGAGGAATATCAGCCCTACGCTAACATCTGCCAATCCTCCTCTTTTTTTTTTTTTGCTGAGGAAGACCGACCCTGGGCTAACATCCGTGCCCATCTTCCTCCACTTTATATGGGAGGCCACCACAGCATAGCTTACCAAGCGGTGCGTCAGTGTGCACCTGGGATCCGAACTGGCGAACCCGGGCCGCCGCAGTGGAGCGCGCACACTTAACCGCTTGCGCCACGGGGCAGCCCCCGGGCGGCCCCCAGATCCAACATTTTAAAGGGATAATACAACATAAATGAGTCAAGGTTTATTCCAGGAATGCAAGATAAGATTATATGCAAAAATCAAACTATGTAATTTATCCCATTAGCAAAGCAAAAGAAGGATAAAATAATATGATCATCTTAATTCAGAGAAAATTTTTTTTCAATTCCAAATCCGTTCATGATCAAAACTCTTAGCAAACTGGAAATAGAAGACAACTTCCTTAAGCTAACAAAGAGTATCTACAAAAATACTTCAGCACAGGAGCCGGCCCAGTGGCATAGCAGTTAAGTGCGTGCCCTCCGCTTTGGCGGCCTGGGGTTTGCAGGTTTGGATCCTGGGCGTGCACTGACACACTGCTTTTCAAGCCATGCTGTGGCAGTGTCCCATATAAAGAAATGTAGAGGAAGATGGGCACGGATGTTAGTCCAGGGCCAATCTTCCTCAGCAAAAAGAGGAGGGTTGGAATTGGATGTTAGCTCAGGGCTGACCTTCCTCAAAAAAAAAAAAAAAAAAAATTCTTCAGCCCACATCATACTTAGAAGTGAAATGGTGACAGCTTCCCTTTGAGATGGGAAGCAAGACATGGATGTCTACTTTTACCACTTCTATTCCACACTGTACTTGAGGTCCTAGTCAGTGCGCTGTGGCAAGGAAAACAAAGTTACATGTAAGATTTGGAAAGAGATAAAAATAACCATCATTATTTGTAGATAAGATTGTGTAAGGGGGCCGGTCCTGTGGCATAGTGGTTAAGTGTGTGCGCTCCGCTGCTGGTGGCCCCGGTTCGGATCCCGGGCACGCACCAACTTAACACTTGTTAGGCCATGCTGTGGCGGCGTCCCATATAAAGTAGAGGAAGATGGGCACGGATGTTAGCCCAGGGCCAGTCTTCCTCAGCAAAAAGAGGAGGATTGGCATGGATGTTAGCTCAGGGCTGATCTTCCTCATAAAAAAAAAAAGATTGTGTAAGAAATCCAAGAATCTACAGTTGAATTACTAAAATTAACAAGTGAGCATAGCAGTGTTGCTGGTTATGTCAGTAGACAAATCAGTTCTATTTCTGTATATCAACAAAATAAAATTTAAAAAGATTTCATTTATAATAGCAACAAAAATATAAAAAAATAAGAATAAATATAACAAAAGATGTATATGACATTTATAAGAAAACTATAAAATATTATTGGAAAAAATTTAAAGCCCTCAATACATGGTAGAATATAAATTGGAAAATTTAATATTATAAAGACATTAATTCTCCCCAAACTGATCTATAGAGATGCAATGCTATCGCAATCAAAATATGTATAGGTTTTAAATTTTGCTGTGGAACTTGACAGACTGATTCTAAAATATATGTAGACATACAAAGAGCCCAGAATAGATCAAAGAGCCCAGAATAGATAAGACTTATTCTAACCTTTTATTTAAAAAATTTCAAACCTACAGGAATGATGAGCGAGTAGCAGAAAAGAACACCATATGACCTTCACTTAGATTCAATTGTTAACATTTTGTCATACTCCCTTTCTCTGTCTATATATTTTTTCACTTTGCAGCACCATATGAAGGTAAATTGCAGACAAGTATTTCATCACATATCTCCTTAAAATATTCTCCTGTATAACCAGAATATCATTATCACACCAAAGAAACTCATCATCAATGTAATAATATTATCTAATATATGGTCTATTTTCAAATTTCTCCATTATCCCAACAATGTCTTTATGGCTCCCCCCACCCCACCCCCTTGCCAATCCAGGTTTCAATCAAGGATCACACATTACATTTAAGCTGAAATATCTCTTTAATATCCTTTTATCTTCAATAGACCCTCTGATTTTTTTGTCATTTGACATTTTTGAAGACGCCAGGCCAGTTGTTTTATAGACTGTCCCACATTGTAGATCTGTCAAATTGTTTTCTCCAGATCTGATACAGGTTAAAGGCTTTTGGCAAGCATAACACATAAGTGATATTTTGTTTTTTTTGTTGTTTTTTTTTTAAAGATTTTATTTATTTTATTTTTTCCCCCCAAAGCCCCAGTAGATAGTTGTATGTCATAGCTGC